TGTGAGTGCAGGCAGGTATTTTGTGGCTGTTTTATAAAGTTCTTTATCTGGCTGAGGAGGTAGAGGTTCGTCCTGTAATCAGTGGGATTTTTTCTTTATATTCATTCTGATTAAGTTTTCTTCACATTATTTCAACACAAAAATGTTATCCTGAACCCTAACCTGATAGAAGTACACAGTTCCACTTTGACCTTTAACCTCCCTGCTCTGTTTTCTCTCCTGCAGATGAACCAAAGGTCACAGCTAAACCTGGACAAGACGTCATTCTGCCATGTAGATCTGCTGAGAACAAACCTGTCACTGTTGTACAGTGGAGGAGACCTGATCTGGGGTCAGGATATGTTCTTCTGTACAGAGACGAGCAACCTGATCCAGAAAACCAGCATCCATCTTATCAGAACCGGGTCAATCTGCAGGACAGACAGATGAAGGATGGAGACATGTCTTTGGTTCTGAAGGACGTAAAAACTACTGATGGTGGAACATATCAGTGTCGAGTCCAGAGTGAAGGAAGCCTTGACAGAAAACTGATCAGCACCGTCCAGCTGGAAGTTCTTCCTCCAGGTGAGAGTCTGTGTGTAATGCTTTAATACAACAGGATTGTAGATCTGCTGTTACTGGATCACCCTTCAGACCTCTCAGGTTCTGGTTCTGCTCTGCATTCGGAACCAGAACCAAACATGGAGAAGCAGCATTCAGCTTCTATGCACCATAAATCTGGAACAAACAAAATAATATTACTGCACTGAAACATCAAATGTACATCATTAGACAAACTGTGTAGTTGTGAATATTAAGGTTCTAAGAAATGAGCAGCTAATTAAAACAATGAACTAACTGCTGTATGTTTGTGCAGAAAACCGGCAAGAAGAATCAGAAAACTGTGGAAATAACAGAAATGATGTAAACAATTTTCTTGATTTTCTAAAACAAACCAAGACAAAGCGAGCTCCCAGCAGCTGATGGACTCTGATGGTTTAGAGTCTATCAGCCGCTGGGAGGAAGGATCTGCTGTAAAGCTGCTATGTGCATTTAGGATGGAAGGTTTGAAGGAGCTCTGCAGTTCAGTGACGGCTTCATGTGTGGAGAGGCTGCTGAACAGGACAGATCCTCTGGTCCAACAGTGATATTTCTGTAGAAGTACAGAGTTCCACTTTGACCTTTAACCTCTCTGCTGTTTTCTGTCCTGCAGATGAGAAAAACATCACAGCAGAACCTGGACAGAACGTCACTCTGCCATGTAGAGCTGCTGGCAGTACAGCTATTATTGCTGTGGAGTGGATCAGAACTGATCTGGGCTCAGAATATGTTCTGTACCGAGACGGTCAGATTAATCCAGGAAACCAGAACCCATCTTACCAGAACCGGGTGGATCTGCTGGACCGACAGATGAAGGACAGAGACGTGTCTTTGGTTCTGAAGAACCTGACGACTAACGATACGGGAACATATCAGTGTCAAGTCCAGAATGAAAGAAGTCCTGATAAAAAACTGATCAGCATCGTCCAGCTGAATGTTCTTCCTCCAGGTGAGAGTCTGTCTGGATCAGAACCAGAAGTTTCCTGGTTCTGGATCTCAGATCAGATGTTGATGATGAGACTCTAAAATATTGTTGGTAATTTATAAATCACTGAATGATTTAGCACCACTAAACATTGAAGATCTGCTGAGCAGAGTAGAAAACTGATGATGTGGGACAGCAGTTTCTTCAAATACTTATAATCAGAATTATTATCACCTCACTGATGAAATCACAAAATCTTCCATTTCCATGGAAATGACCAAAATGGAAACTGTTCATGCTTCCAAAAGAACAAAGTCAAACTCTTCCCATACTTCCAGTAGATTTGTTGATGTGCTGAAAACCCGACTGAAACAATCTCCTGGTTTCTTTATATTCAAGACAAATCTGACCAATTATTGAACTTTACAACCAAACCAGTAATCAGTCGTATATAGATCTAACCAGTGGTGGGAAGTAACGAGGTACAAGTACTTCATTACTGTACTTAAGTACATTTTTGAGTACTTTCTCCACCACTGGATCTAACCCTATACAAGCAGCTCTGGTTAGCTGGGCCAGTGGCACCTGAACACCTGGACTGCTGTGACACATGAGAGGAACCAAATTAATTATTCCAAAAAAAATAAATAAATAAATTAGTCTGGACATCAGAAAGGGAGAAGGTTTTCATCAGGAGGGTTCATTGGATTCAGGGTCTCTGTCCAAGAAAAACCTCCATTACTGAATCGATGGCAAATCAATGGATGACTGAAGTTTGGCCATGAACCTTTGAAACATGGTGATTCTCTGGCAGTCTGTCCTTTGGTCTGATGAGAGTGAACCTGAACTCTTTGGGTGCAGAGATGCAGTCAGAGAGCAAAGGGAGAGACCTTTGACCCTAAAACTACAGGTCCCATGTTAAACATGGTGGTGGAAGCATCATACTGTGGAGCTGTTCTGCTGCTCCAGCCACTGAGTGACCCTCACAGAGCCCAGGTCCCTGTCACTTTAAGAAAGTCAGTCTATGCTGGATGAGCTGGAAGGATTTAATGAGGGGGAAGTAACAATGAACCAAAAATAAGTGGTTTATTCTTTAAGGTAAAGGGGAAACGAAGGGGGAGAAAAAAGGAGGGAACCATAATATGTATAATTTACATTTATAAAATACAAGCTGACCAAAACCAGGCCCACAAACAGAACTGTCAGGTTAGATGGTAAAAAAAGAAACAAATACTCCAGGAGAGTTCACCCACAGCTAATATTAAACTGTGTAACAGTCGGGTTCTAGTTTAGCAGTTCTCAACGTGGGCGGTACCGCCCCCCGGGGGGCGTTCAGAGGACAGCAGGGGGCGCTGGCGGAAATTTTTACAAAAGGGGGGCGCTGGGATTCCTTTGTACGGAAGCACATTGCTGTCACGCAGGAAAAAAAACATTTGAGCACTGTCACGTTATAACGCGATTGTTCTCTAAATTTTTTGGGGTGGGGGCG